CAACGTCGAATCATGCGTTTAACCGACTCTAATTAATACTTAGCAAGAAGCTTTCGTGACCGGTAGTAGACTTTTAACTCTTTTCTCTCTCTTTCTCTTTCTATTTTTTTATTTATTTTTATTTTCACTCGCATATTTAATTCATCGTAAGCCAAAAAAAAAAAAAAAAATTTAAAGCAATAATAAAACGAGGAGGAGACTCGTAATAGTAGATTTTTTATTTTATTTTCCCAAAACGAAAAAAAAAAAAAATTCGTCATTATTATCATTATTATCATTATCATTATTATTATTTGTAAATAATTCACGTGGTGGAATTTTACGACGAGAAACTAGCAGAAAAAAAATTGGTAGAACAAAACCACTAATCATCAAATCAACTCCTATCAATTATATAATTAATTAATTATTTCACACCCGATTTTAAAATTAAACATTACAAACATCACACAACCTTTTTTTAAACCTTTTTTTTAACCTTTTTTAACCTTTTCTTAAAGAAAAAAAAAACAAACAAACGAGAAAAAAATTAGCAAAAAAACAAAACAAAAATAGAAAGTTTACAATTTTTATTTTTTATTTTTGTACGAATTTCATTAATCTAGCACACACACACACGCACACGCACACACACTTTCGATTTCTTGTTTTTTTCTTAAATCATTCTCTCTCTCTCACTCTTCTTCTTTTTTTTTTTTTAAATTTTTTAACGAAAGATAAGCAAACGCCTAAAACACGAGAGAAAGAGAAAAAATAAATAAATAAATAAATAAAGATAGATTTTAGAGACCAAAAATCTTAATTTTTTTTTTTTTTCTCTCTTTTCGAAACCGTCAAGATTCTAAAAATATTTTATGCTCGTCGCAGACGACGACGACGACAACAACAACAACAACAACAACGACGATATACTAAAACGAACCGAATGAAAAAATCGGAGAGAATTTCAACAAACAAAAAAAAAAAAAATTTATTTTTAAAAAATATTTTTATAACAAACTAAGCTTCGGAAACACCCCAATCTTAACAACTTTTTACGAAAAAAAAAAAGATGTAGTTATAACGACTGTAAAAATAACAACAACGACAAACAACAACAACAACCAAAGTATATGATTGACAATATTAATTATAATAATTATGTATATATATATTTTTTTTTGTTTTTATATACCTTGTCACTTTTAAATCACGGCAATACATAAAATCACCTTAATGATAATACTAACGATTTCGTTAAAACAAAAATTCACGTTTTCACTTTTCTTTACTTTTTTTTTGCTACGAATCAACGATCCAATAATAATTTTTTTTTTTAACGAATAAAGTAAACAATAATAATAATAATAATAAATTTTTTTTTTTAAATAACAAACACAAACTTCGAAGCAACAACTTTTTTTTTTTTTTTGTTTTCTAATATACGATGAAAACTAAAATCGCACGACGACCATCTTCGCGGGCGATATATTAACAACTGACGGCGCTGCGCAATCTCAAACTGATTCAAGAACTTCTTGCCACCACACACACACACAACCAAACGGTGGTGATTGTGTCGTGTGTGTGCGTGCGTGTGTGCGTGTGTGCGTGTGTGCGTGCACCAGCGTATATACATACGTACGTATATATATACAAACCCGATGTGATTTTGATATTGTAGCATCATCTGCTCCTCGGCACGCACGTAGCACCATTACACGAAATTTTTTCTTTTTTTTTTTGTCTGTTTGCTTTTGATATCGCACTGATATTGACACGAATCCTTATCCTCTCTTTCTTTTCCCCCCCTTTCCCCTGCCCCTTTTCCTTCTCTCTCTCTCTGCGAGTTTTTCAATGCCGAAAAAAAAAAAAAAAAAAAAAAAATTCAAAAACGAGTTTTCACTTCTTTTTGTCTCTCTCTCTCTCTATCTTTCCCCCCTTACTCCCCATTTCGACCAATTAAATGTTTTTTGCTAGACATTGAAAAAAAAAAAAAAAACAATTGACGGTTATCGATTTCGTAGTTGTAGGAGAGTGAAAAAAAAAAGAAAACAATGGTTGCATAAAATTTGACCATGAACGATTATTAATGTGGATAACAAAAACAAAAAAAAAAAAAAAAAAAAAATCATCATTTGGGTATTTCCATAATTCTCCTTTTCTCTCTCTCTTTCTATTCCTATCAAATAATTGATTTAAAGTTTTTAATAGATATTGAAATTTTCAACCCGTTCTCTGGTGGTGATGGTAGATCAATATCCTAACATAAAATCAATTAATTATAAAACGTAAACTCTCTTGAGAAATTTTCACGTTGCCCTTCACCTCCTGTGAACGCGTACAATGGAAAAAACAAAAAAACCACCTGACTACTATTGGAATTTTATTATCATTATTATTATTATTATTACTTTTGATAATTTCAATCACGGTATTAATATACTAGAATATAATACACGTAAGCACATACTTTTTCCCTCCTCTTTTTTGAGGGGGGAAGAGGGAAAGAGAAGAAGTGGGGACTCCCTACTTTTACAGGTTGGAAAAAAAAAATAAAACAAACAAATTAAAAGATTTGATAGAATGAAAAATCTGTCTCTCCTGTTCTGCCGTGGAAAATTGTCGGGGTCGAGGGGTAGGGGTAGGGGGGGGAAAACGATCTGTCGGACGGAGGAATCAAACCACACCCATGTTAATGACGCAAGGGTGGCGAGGAAACACGATGATGATATTCTAAACTAACAACACATTACACTTTAATGCTACAATTAATTTTTTTTTTTTTTTATTTCGCCGATCTTTGACATTTTTTTTTCTTTTTTCTTTTCACGGGAAAACCTTTATCGAACCCTAACGTGAAAGCAAAGTGAAAAAAATAAACACATATCGACTAGACAAGCGAGGGAGAGAGAGAGAGAGGGAGAGAAAAGTTTCGTCTTTAAAAATAATTACACATTCAACGTCGTAATTTTTTTAAATTTTATTATTATTATTATTATTTAGATTGAGGAAATGCGATGATGAAAAGGGAAGCGGAAAATGAAAATTAAGGTGAAAGTAAAACGCAATTAACTCTCTCGGCTTTTGAAATCGTCCAAAAAAAAAAGATGGTCAGAAAAAATCGACATCGAAATATCAAATAAAACAAACAAACAACAACCGAAAAAGAGTCTCATAAATTTCTCCCCCCCCCCCGATGATAATCAGAAACAAATCAAATTTGTAGAAACAACAAACCTGTGGAAAAAAAAGGTGGGGGAGGGATTTTCCTTAAAAAAAAATTATCCGAAGGCAAGTAAACCCTTTTCGACTCTTCATTTCAAACGATCAAACATGATTAATAATGTACATAATGTATTATAAAAAAAAATTTTAAAAGCGCCATTCGATATATAATAATTATTATACGTAAATAAATAAATAAATAAATAAAATTGCACAATTATTCAAAAAAAAGAGGAAAAACATGCAGACTTGTGTCGTGTGCGCCAGGCGGCCGTCCATATCGTGCGATTACTTCGAACGAGCGATCGCCGATGTTGTTATTCGTTGGCGCCATTATCATCATCAACGTCATTTATTACAATAAATCCTCGTATTCCAACTTTATAATAATCACGTTGAAACTGAAGGCGCGTTTTTTACGCTTTTATATTTTTTTTCGAATAAAGTAATAAATCCGTACGCGAATAATGAAAATTCAAAATGGAAAAAAAAAATTTTCCATTCCATGGAATAACGCTTAGAATAATTTTAAATAATCGTTCCTCAATCGATCATTAAATAATCGGTTAATTATTATTATTATTATTACTTTTCTTTTACTCGGGGGGGTTTATTACGTAATAATTACGAGTTTAGCAAAATTATCGCAAACGTAACATGTTCCAAGTAGTAGTGACATTGCTCTCATATAAATAAAACCTCGCAATCGCGAAATGACGACCCCTTCCCCCTCGTTGACGATTCCGGCATTTTAAACTTGTTCCTTTTTACGCGGGAAAAATACCAAACCATTTTGGAAAAATTAATCGAATCGAAAAAATTTAAACACAATCGTTTACCGCCGATCTCTCTCTCTCTCTCTCTCTCTCGTGTCTCTCTGTAACTCACTCTCGCTCTCTCTCTCTCTCTCTCTCTCTCTCTCTCTCTCGTGTAAGCTCTGTAAGTTAAAGTAAACGCGACCTTTCTTCAAATAGGTGCCACATTTATTCACTTGACATATACCGACAACGAAAAAATCATGGTGTAAACATTTGAAAAAAAAAAAAAAAAAAAAAAAAATTGTAGACAACCTTGCACGGGAAGATTTTTCATTTTTTTTTTTTGTTTTTTTTTTTTTTGTTTTCAGGTAAGAATCGCTTTTTATCTTACATTAAAAAAAATATCCTTAAGGCAAAAGAAAAAAAAAAAAGATGTTTTAAACATTGGATTGAAAAAAAAAAAAAAAAAAAAAAATCGAAATATACATTTTCGCATAGCCGAGGAAGAGAATGAAAGAGAGATAGAAAACAAATTTAAATGAAGACTTGTAGGAAAAAAAAAAGTCATTAAATAATTGAAACGAGTGACAAAGATTTAAATTTAAAAAAAAAAAATTTTTAATCGGATAATTTCACCCACACATTCACCCACACCACATTTTGCGACCATCACCACCACCCAAGAGGAAATATACGATTTGACCAAATGAACACCACCTACGACGTCGTCATCGTCACCATCGTCATCAAACCTTTTTAAAGCATTCATTTTAAACCATGTTTGAAAAAAATTATTTATTAGCATTCTCTATACACAAGAAAAGAAGGCTGTGGTTTCGACGTTTTCTTCTGCTCGATTCTAACAAATATAAACAATGAAAATGTAAACAATAACAACAACAAGTACAGTTATAAAATAATTTTTTTTAAAAATGTAAATATCTAACCGAGTGATATTTTTTTTTTTTTTTCTCCCAATTAGAATCCCCCTTCTTTCGTACGTAAATTTACTTATTACTTTACGACGTTAAATACATGGATTACGGACCGAGAACTAAGAGAAATCATTTAATTCAAACGGGTAACACAAGGTGGCATTTATTTAAAATTGCACAATTCCTGCTATGCGTTGCCATTATTGTCGTTGCCATCGTGATAATGCTTTACTGGGATATATGGGATGATTTTTCAGGTATATAATTATTTTTTTTCCCTCCCCTCCCTCTCTACCGCGCTCTCGACAATGAATCGATACATGCAATCAACAAACGACATGAAATCATTGAAATTTTAGTGCCGCGCGGATTGTACGAGAACGAAACAGAAACGACCTTTCACGAAACAACAACGACCTTTCGCGAAACAGAACCTTTCACGACCTCGGATTCGACAACGAGATCACCATCTTCCGCGACGAAACCCTCTTCAGGACAAACGACAACAAAGTCAAACCTATTTATTGTGACTCCTGTAAAAACTGTTCCAGCCTCCGAAGATGACATCAAATGTCCGAAAATCCCAGAGTATAAAAAAGACTCGGATAGTTTTTCACTCTCTAACTTACTCTTCATATTCCCAGCCGTTTTCACCGTTTTAGTTATAGTAATAATTGAAGTGTTTGGGCATTTGACTCGGGATCCTATATTGAAAGTGCCCGTGAGTAAAAAAAGTCTTTTCAATCAAATGATAATAACAAAATTAATTGAAATAAGCAGCAGCAGCAGCAGTTGTAGTAGTAATAGTAGTAGTCGTACAACGCCGTCTTATTCGGTTGTTATCAATCAACAGTCAAATTCATACTTTTTTTTTTTTTTTAATAATAAAATGATTCATAAGGATAAATAATTAATTTTCAGACCATCGTTTACCTTTTCATAATGTTGATTTTGAGCTTGGGAATATTTACTGTAAGCACCGAGGCCACGTATAGACGAAGACAATACATATATGGAGCGATTGCCCTTTTTTCGGGTATTCTAACCTTAACCGCTATGCTCAATATAATTTTTGTGGCTTGTTTATCGTTGTTATTTTTTTTTATTTTCTTTCCCTCCCTACTCCTCCGCCCCCCCCCCATAGACTTTACCGTCGACATCATTCAGTAAAATTTACAAAAAAAAAAAAAAAAAAAATCAGACATGCAATAAAAAAAAACTGAAATTTTTCCCATTCACGCCGCCCTCCTCTTCCCTCTCCTACAATTTATGACACAATCAATTTTTTTTTTTTTTTTTTTTTTTTTTTGAAATAAAAATAATAATAATGAACTTACCCTGTTTCCTGCGTGCGCTCCAGAGTACCGGAGGTGCAGGTAAAGGGTTACCTCCTGGAGAAGCCAGTTTGGTTGATGTCCAAAAACCTGAAATAAATATTTTACATTTGTGAAAAGTGATAACTGAATAATGATAACATTTTTTTTACAAATTTTATCATTACGAATTCATTTCGAACGTTTACAATTATCATATAATGTTAAAAGGGAAAAAACAGAATTTTCATCGACTTCCCTCTTCTCCCTTAAAAAAAAAAAAAAAAAATTTCCCGAGTAAAAAATAATAATAATAATATTTTTTTTGTTTTTTAAAACGTATTTACGAGATACAAGCGATAAGAAAATTAATATATGGAAATAAATTATTTATTATCAATTATGATTATTCAACCGTTAATGAATGAAAATACATAAAACTTAATAAAACGAGATAAACGACGCAAAACGAAAACCGATAACCGTAAGATTTTATTTACCATATAATTCAAATTCGAAATAAGTAAAAAAAAAATAATAATAATAAAACCCATTAAAAACGACGATGATGATGATGATAATTATTCCGAAATCGAAAACCACTTAAAAAAAAAAAAAAAAACAATACATAAAATACGGGGGGAAAAATGATATCGAACAGTTGAACGTATTGAAAATGCATAAACGTTCAATTGAAGGCGTTTTTCAAAAAATCTTTCATTTAAAAACAAAAAAATTTCATATTCGTTCATTGTACAAAAACGTATAAATCAATCGATTAATCGATATCGTCATCGATATTACATTTTAAAAAAAAAACAAACTTTATTTTTAACAAAATCGTACGAAAGTACAAAATAAATAATAAAAACTTTTATTCAATTTTAATGACGATCCAATTATTATTAAAAAATCCCTCCGAGATATAAAATTCAAAACAGAAAAAAAAAAAGAAAAAGTGTATTTTTATTCGATTGGAAAATTTTCATAACGATTGTTGTTGTTGTTGTTATGTTTAAAGTTATGTGAATTTACCCTTAACCCCCCACCCCTCCCCCGACGTATATTTAAATTATTCATGTTTATCAATATTATATTTAATAACCGACAAATTAATTACTTTTCCAAACCGTAAGTATGAAATATTTTGTAAAAAAAATAAATAAATACGTTATTAAATGATCTTCAACTATTTTTCTCTCTCTCTCTCTCTTTTTTATTAATTAATTAATTAACGCGGGCAAAATATTTTCAATATTAAAGTAATATTACTTTATTAGCATAGTAAAGTTTACTTTATTTTCATGATGACGAAAAATATATATTTATTAATTAAAAAAGAAAAGAGAAAATTAAAAGAGAAAAAATTATTTTCAATCAACATATTAAGGGTTAACATACGCGTGCATGTTAAAAAATTCATAGCCACGGATTAATTGATCTATAAATAAAAATTAATATGTTGAATACATAAATTTTTATTATTAATGCAACAAAAAATAAAAAAAAATAAAAATATAAAATTTAAAAAAAAAAAACCGAGATGACGGTTACGGTTTATAAATATTCAAAAATCCAATCAATTCAAAAAAAAAAAAAAAAAAAAAAAAGAACATTTACGTGTTTCCGAATACAAAAAAAAACCAACGAAATTAACTAAATATGACGAATACGTTTACGGTTTCCCCCTTCCTTTCCCCCCACCTCCCCATCCTCTTCTAAAGTGATTATCATTAAAAAAAAACGAGAAAAAAAAAAAAAAAAACAAAAATTACAATTTAAATTATTGTTACGACCGAACCGGGGGAATCCCCTTCCTCCCAAAAAAAAAAAAAAAATCATTATTCGATCATTTGCATACTGGAAATTGTTTTTTTCTCTCTCTCTCTCTCTCTTCTTCTTCTCATATAGAACTCATTCGAAATAATTTAATTCAAATTTTTAAATATACGCGAGAAAAAAATAAAATAATTTTTATGGGGGGAACGGGGAGGGAGTGGGGGGGAGAACACAAACAAAACAAGAATTTCTACTAAAACGAAAACAACAACAACAACGACAACAAAAAATTATCGTAGCCCGCCAAAATTAAATTTTACGATTCCTATCGAAAATTACTTGGCAATAATATCTGAATGGTGATGATGATAATAATAATAATAATAATAATAATAATTTTTTTTGTACGGGATAGATCCTTATTGTAATTACGTCGTCTACTTTTTTTTTTAAGACATTTCTTGTGCCACATTTTGATCACGTAATAAATTATTAATTTTTTTTTTTTATTTCTTCTCCTCCTTATTTAAAAAAATTTTTTTTTAAATAGTCTCTTTTCCTTTTTCCGCATTTTCTGTGTGTGCACATTATATTCTTAATTACGTGAAAGAAGAGTAATAAAAAAAAAAAAAAATAAATCTAAGACTCGAAAAGAAAATAAAATAATAAAATAAAATAAATCATTTTTTTAAAAACTTTGCTTTGTTCTTTTCCTTTGCAATAAATTTTAATTTTTTCTTTCTTCACCGTTTTTTCAAAAAAAAAAAAAAAAAAAATTCAAATTAATCATGCACGGTCTTAATTAATTAATTATATAATAAATTACTATGAAATAAATAAATAAAAAATAATAATTTTAATAATTTCCCCCCATATTTTATCTCGTTTAAAAAACCTCAAATTCCTTGTAATTCCAACCACTCACCCACCCCCCCGGAAAAAATACTCTTATTACAAGTACAATAAAAAAAAACTTTTTTTTTCCATTGATTTTCAACTGAAATCCCCCCCCCCCCTCCCCCCCCCGATGAATTTTTAAAAGTAAACCTTTATGTAATAATAATAATAATTTCTTTTTTCATATATATCGAATTTTTTAATAAGTTTATTTGTTTATTTGCTATTTTTTTTTTTTTTTGCTAAATTTAAAACAAGGAAAATAATAATTTTAACGGTAAAATTACGAAAGCAAAACAAAACGAATTGAAAAAAAAAAACGAAATAGAAAAAAAAACCGACATTTAAAAAAAAAACGAAAAAAAAAAATAAAAAAAAAAAAAAAAAAAATTTTATTAAACTTTTCGTTTTGAAACTTTATTGGGAAACCAAAACCAAAAACCAAAAAAAAAAAAAAAATTGTATATATTTATGTTACATAAAGTCGCCATTTTTTTTTATTACTTGGTTTTTTTTTTTTTTTTTTTTTTTGCTAAAGAGAAAAAAGCAGACAGAAAACCTGTAAAAGTCAAAAAACCCCTTTATCTTTACTCGATTGTCGAAAGAGGGACGAAAAGGGGGAGAGGGGAAAAGCATTTTTTCAAGAAATTGCTTACAAAATGTTTTCCTTTCCCCCTCCCCTCCCCTCCTCCTTTTCTTTCTATCATGGCTTTTCCACAATTCGACTAATCTTATTTTTTATATACGCAAATATAAATAAATAAATATATATATAAAAAAATCTCGAGAAAAAAAAAACACTTTCGTGAAATCAAACATAAAAATATTATTTATTATTATTATTATTAAATATAAAATATAAAAAATAAAATAAAATAAATAAATAAAAAAACAACCAAAACATAAAAAAAAGACTAATTTTCCCTTTTTTTTTTCTTCTCTTTTCTCCTTTTTCCTTTTTTTTCTATTATTATTATTATCATTCATCGGATTTTTTTAAATAAAGAAATAATAATAATAATAATAAAATAAATTATTTTCTTTTCATAAAAAATAAATAAATAAATAAATAAACGTTGTTACTTTTTAAATTCGTATAGTTTTTATTTATTTTGAAAAAAATATTCCAAAAGCTTCCTAAATTTAAAAAATTTTTTTATTTCCCTTTTTTTTTTTTCTTCGGCCCTTTTTTCCCCCACTTTCCCCTCCCCTCGTTCGACGACTTAAAAATAACGTCGAGTAATAAAAACCGAAAATAAACTTTAAAAAAAATATTAATAACAATAATAACGACGACAACAACAACAACAACCGTCGAAGCAAATAACGAAAACACACTCTGACACTCTGTTTCTATTTTTATTAATTAAATTTTATTTTTTATTATCATTATTAATCGATTGATTGATTGACTAAATCCATATAATAATAATAATAATAATAATAATATTCGAGCATTTATTTCAAAGGAATCGAGTAGAAACCTGGAAATAAATGCTTAAAAACTTCGACAAATGAAAATCTCATCGTGTTTAAAAATGAAACAATAATAATAATAATATTAAATAAAAATATTTAAACGTCGAAGAGGGGGGGGGGGGGGAAAATGTGTCAAATAATTATGCCCCCCCCTGTTTTCCCCCCTTTTTTTTTTTTATTTTTTTGAAAAAAAAAAAAAAAAAAAAAAAAAAAAACTTTAAAAATTGTCCGCCGGCCTAATTTAAATTAGACGATTAGGTCAACCATTTTGTTTTTGTTTTTGTTTTTTTTCGCGCGTGATAACCTTTTTTTTTTTTTTTAACCGAATTAAATAAATCTCTAAATTTCACGCGGCGTGATGTCATATATATATATATATATATATATATATATATATATATATATATATATATATATATATATATATATATATATAAAATACAAACGAAAGTTTAAAAATTTTTTAAATTTTCCCGCGAGTTTTACTTTAAATTCGCGCAAAAATTAATAGAAGGGGCCGGACGAGGCCGGACGGGACGGGGCGGGGGGTGGCGGTGTTTGTTGGAAAAAATAATTTCCAACGCATTTTCTATATCGTTTATACGATTATTATTATTATTATTATTATTATTATTATTATTATTATTATTATTATTATTATTAAATATGTAAAAAATTATTGTTAAAACGCGCGTGTAATTTTTTCATTAGAGGAGTGGCTAAATGACTATTTTGAGAAAAATTGTGTGGGCAATCATCAATCGTTTGAACCCGATTTTATGTTAATAAGAAAAAAAAAAAAAAAACCGATTCGTTTTTTTTTTCTCTTTGCCCCCCACACCAACGCCTTTTGTGTAACCGAGCGTGCATGTGCGTGTGCGTGTGCTCGCGTTATTATTATTATTATCATCATCATTAAATTGAATTTTTTTTATAATATATGTACTTTAATGAGCGCGTAACAAAAAATTTCATGTTTTAA